ATTGGAGGGTATGATGCTAACTGAAATTAGTCAGAGAAAGACAAAAATCATATAACTTCACTCAGATGAGGACTTTAAGAGACAAAACAGATGAACATAAGGGAAGGGAAACAAAAATAATCTAAAAACAGGGAGGGGGACAAAACAGAAGAGACTCATAAATATGAAGAACAAACTGAGGGTTACTGGAAGGGTTGTTGGGGGGGGGGTGGGCTAACTGGGTAAGGGGCACAAAGGAATCTACTCCTGAAATCATTGTTGCAGTATATGCTAACTAACTTGGGTGTAAATTTTAAAAAGTAAAATTAAAAGCAAGAACAACAACAATAACAACAAAGAAACAATGGAAGGGTACCGGAGAAACTAACAAAAGTGGTCACCAGTAGGAGGCCATGGGGGGAACAGGATGGATGGGGAAGACAAGGATGAAAGTGAGACTTTTCACTATAAAAACGTCCTCAGAGTCGTCATGTATTTCAGCTACTACCTTTTCTTTAAAAAAGCACAAATGAAAAAATGTACACACGGGCATTTTTATTCCTGTGACCGGTGATTTCGTGTGCTTCTCCCCCACGGCTGCCTTCATTCGCCTTCCGTTTCACTGAGGGGAGGAAAATGTTTTCACCCTGTATCTGTCTGTAGCCGATGGGAAGGGGACCTACAAAGGCTTCCCCGGGTTCTTTATCCCACACCTGCCTTGTGTTGTGGGAAAGCCCTCTTATAGGTGGAGTTTGTTGGCTTGGCAAGAGCACGACTGTGTTCCTTCCTTCTTCCTTGAGAACCACAGTCCTGGATGGAGACCATTTGCCTGTCTAGGAATCACTGGGTGGTAGGAAAGGCAGATCTCCCATCTCTCCTCCTGGGCTTTCTCCTTACACCCACCCTCCAGATTAGAAGGTCCCAGTGAAGTTTTCCAGACAGTGTCCCTCGCTTTCTTCTCTCTGGGCTGCTTAGGGTGGGGCTGGGTAGGAGGGCTTGGATGTTGAAACAGCGCCATCATAGATTTCTGGAGGCTTTCCTCTTTTCTGCTGACCAATGTTTAAGAAAACTAAGATATAAAGTCACAGTTCTTGTGTTACTTACTTTTCTTTATGCCAAGAGATTTTTTTGACTCTGGCTTGACATACCATTTTATCCTAGTTACTTTAGAAGCATTTTATGAATATCTCTTCTGTTCCTCCAAGTGCACTTCTCTGCAGCCACTAGTGATTAAGATAACAGTGTTAAGTTGGTTTCACAAACTTATCTCAGTGAACATAAGTGAAGCTCATTTTAATTGACACCATAAGTAGATTCTTCTAAATGGTTAACAGTTTTTTGAAATTGTAGTGTAATGGGGCACCTGGGTGGCAGTTAAGCATCTGACTCTTGGTTTCGGTCAGGTCGTGATCTCACAGTTCTTGAGTTCAAGCCCCGTGTCTGGCTCTGTGCTGACAGTGCAGACCCTCCTTGGGATTCTCTCTCTCCCTCTCCCTCTCCCCCTCCCGAGAGCTTGATCTCTCTCTGAATGAAATTGCAGTGTAGTTAACCTACAGTCTTGTGTCAGTTTCAGACTGTATTGATGATATATATACTCAATATAGCAATTCAACAATTATGTACATCACTCAACAATTATTTTTTTTATACAGGAGAAGCTTTTTGCTGCAACTTTGCAGGGAAACACCTTTTGTTTTTCATTACACAACAACAAAGTCAGCAGTTAATTCTAACCAGCGAAGAGATTCCAAATTCATGTGGTTTTGCTATTTGGGATGGATGCGTGTAGCGTTTTGGAGTTTGCCGTAGAGTACCTCTTGGTAGCTGCCATAACATACTGCCGAGTAGAAGCTAAAGTGTAGACAAAATAAAGGAGAAGCTGTAGCTAGCAATTCCCTCAATTCCCTCACTATTCAGAGACAGTAGCAAACCCTTTCTCTCTTTAAGTACATGAAAAATTTTTCTGTTTTCCCTTATCTTTTCTTCCCATAACAGTTTTCCACCATTTTTGCTGAATGTTTTTTTTCTAAACCTAAATTATCTTGGTATATGTTATTTATGTCATTATAATTATAAACCTAATTGCTTTCTTGATTTGAACTCTGGTCTTTGTTCATGAACAATACATTGAAAAGCTTTGGAATAGAGGGGCACCTGGGTGGCTCACTCGGTTAAGTGGCCGACTCTTGATTTCGTCTCAGGTCACGATCTCATGGTTGCTGAGATCAAGCCCCACGTCAGGCTCTGTGCTGACAGTACAGAGCCTGCTTGGGTTGGTCTCTCTCTCTCAAAATAAATACACTTAAAAATATATATTATTTTTTTTTAACGTTTATTTTTGAGACAGAGAGAGACAGAGCATGAACGGGGAGGGGCAGAGAGAGAGGGAGACACAGAATCTGAAACAGGCTTCAGGCTCTGAGCAGCCAGCACAGAGCCCGACGCGGGGCTCGAACTCACAGACTGTGAGATCATGACCTGAGCCGAAGTCGGACGCTTAACCGACTGAGCCACCCAGGCGCCCCTAAAAATATATATTAAAAAAAACCTCTGTAATAGAGCCTCTGGGCCCCTATTTGAAAATATGGAACCTCTATTTATCTGTTGTAAATTTTCTATCTTTTGATAAAAGAATCCTTGAAACTGCCTGTTTGGGAGTCCTGTTCACCACATTGCCAATGTTATCGGAAGATTTGTTTAAACTAGACTCACGTGAAGTACTTTTCTTTTCAAAGCTGATCTAATTCTTCCACTCTGAATTTAGAATTTTTAAAACAACAGAATGAGGATGAGACTGTAATGATTCTTTGTTGATTTCACTGGAGAAAATCACTAGGCTTTGTTTCCATATCCCACGCCAAACTGAGATGTTAATTTTTCCCTAGATGAACACTGAGTTTTCAAAGTATTCCCAGGATTAGCTAGAAAAAGGTATTCCTTACTTTTCACAACCTTACTGCAATTTCCCCGCCAGCCCCAACACCAGTGCCTGACCCCAGACAGAGAAGTTCCCAGCCGGTGAACCTTAGCCATTACTTCATTTGACGTTTCAGATCTTCTCTTTGTGCTGAGTTAGAGCTGCTGGCTAGTGATCTTTGGGAAATTTGTGTTCTGTTTTGTATTTGTATTTGATGCAAAAATAAGCTTTATATTTAATATTTGAGTATTCTGTTGCTTTCCACTTCTCTGTTTCTAGTTTACACAGTAAGTGGATAATGAAGAAGTTGGATTTAAACTCCATATGGGTAGAGTGGTATGGTACCATCTCAGTAAAACACCAAAGCCATTGACTTTATTCTGGAGGTTTACAGTGCGAACATAAAACCGTTTAAAATTTCCAAATGTCTCCTGTTACATAAACTGACTATTGACCTTGCCCTTGGCTTAACCTGTGGCGGCCCTCGTGACGCTCATCAAAGACAGGGGGTCTCCTTGCCCCAAGAGCTGATTGGCATTTCTTTCTCAGGGTCCACGTGTTGTGATCTTTTTCAGGTTTTCTGGTAGAATGAAGAACATAGTTTCCATTTTTTGTGTTTTGATCACCTTTACAACCTTTTGTCTGCTTTGTTGTTTCTTCTCTCTTTAGATGAAAAGAGATGTTGAGGAAGAAGTGAAGCCCTCCTCTCCTGACCTGGATGTTGATAATGGGTGTCGGGAAGTCTAAAATAGACCCCTGCCCTCTCTCTCTGCCCTGGGGTAAAAGTCCAAGTGTGGATATGAGTCAGAGACCTCATGAGGCAGATTCCAAGAAATCCAACGACATCTCCCTGCGTGACATTGCCGAGCATAGCCACGGTGCCCTGATGCCCTCTGGAGAGCGGGAGGGCACTGAGGCCCCAGAAGAGGTGCCCGAAGAGGATGAAGAGGAGGTGTTCCTCAAGTTTGTGATACTGCACGCAGAAGATGACACAGACGAGGCCCTCAGAGTCCAGAATCTGCTACAAAATGACTTCGGCATCAAACCCGGAATAATCTTCGCCGAGATGCCGTGCGGCAGACAGCACCTGCAGAACTTAGACGACGCCGTAAACGGGTCTGCCTGGACCATCTTACTGTTGACCGAAAACTTTTTAAGAGACACCTGGTGTAAATTCCAGTTCTACACGTCCCTCATGAACTCCGTGAACAGGCAGCACAAGTACAACTCCGTCATACCCCTGCGGCCCCTGAATAATCCCCTGCCCCGAGAAAGGACTCCCTTTGCTCTGCGAACCATCAATGCCCTAGAGGAAGAAAGCCGTGGCTTTCCTACACAAGTGGAAAGGATTTTCCAGGAGTCTGTGTATAAGATACAACAATCTATATGGAAAGAGACCAGAACTACCCTGCAGAGGCAATCGATCGCCTGAGATGGAGCTCCCCACCCACGGCTGGCTCTTGTTTTCTAGAGCAAATGATTTCGCCTTCCCTTGAGAAAGCACATTCCTGGCAAGAATTTAAATAAAAGAGAACCTGGCTCTTCCAGAAACCTAGGAGCACCAAGAAAGCCAAGTTTCTGCGGGACCCTGTGCAGACTTGAGGTCCTTTGCAATGTTGTTTCGATAAACCAGAGATCGTCAGAGTTTTAAGAACATTCCCGTCGCAGTTCTCCTAGTTCATGAACATCACAGAGGATTATCCTTGCAGCAACCCTTGAACCCAAACTTACAGGGTAGACACTGTAAAAATACGGTAACGCCTGCATTTTGTTCTCCAAGGACACGCAGAAGAAGACGTCCCCGGGAGATGTGAGCACCCTCACTCTTGAGGGACCTCTCAGAAATGTTGCAGCCCAGCCTTACTGGTATCGCCACCCAGAAGGATAGAGAGCCCCTCGAGAACATTTAGAATGTTGAGTCGTGATAAATAGGAAATTAAAAGCAGATATGAGAACGGTGGGGCTTTTTAAAAGAATCCAATCGAATGTATTTTTTCTTTCTGCTGGAATTTGTGTATTTGGACACAGTGCCTACCACTGACTAGTAACGCCATTCGATGGCATCCTGGTGGGGGACTCCAGGGAGCCGTGTCTCCATGTCCCCTGGAGTGTCCTCTGCCAGATGTTCTCCTTAATCTCTCTTAAGGCAGCCTTTAAAAATTCCTGTTGGGGAGCCTGGGTGGCTCAGTCGGTTGAACGTCCGACTTCGGCTCAGGTCATGATCTCATGGTTTGTGGGTTGAGCCCCGTGTGCTGACAGCACAGAGCCTACTTCGAATACGCTGTCTGTCTGTCTCTCTCTCTCTGCCCTTCCCCTGCTCGTGCTGTCTCTCTCTCAAAAATAAGTAAACATTAAAAGTAATAAAAAAAGAAATTCCTATCACAATGCTCTACCCAGGAAGTATTTCTCAGCTGGGTGTTCAGAGTAGCCATCTGAACAAGAGCCATCGGGTACAGACTAGGGACAGGGTGGAGTGCGAATCACGTCCTGTCGTAACGGGGAAGGCACCCCACCTGATTCTAGTCCAGTCTCTGCCACTGAGGCCGAATGTGACCTTACCCTCCTTTATCTGTGAAATGAAAGCGTTGAATTGATGGCTCTCTAAAGGCCTTTGTCCTCTCCCAGAATGTGAACAACTAGGAACCAGAAAAGCGAACAAGCAAAAAAACCCAAAAAAACAAAAAACCAATAACACAATTTTGTAATGCGATGTGCAATAATTTGTAGGAGGCTTTAGATACACTTACAGTGAAAGGCTATTCTGATGTGTTGACAGCATAATTGATTTCTAATGCTATCTGTTAACACTTTTATGGTCGCCAAAGAATGACAATCCACGCTTGCTCAGATTCTTTTAAAATACATTTTTTATGGGGACCGTTGAGCAAAGACATTCTGCTCGATTTTTCTTTCTCCTTATCCTCACTTCCCTGTATCTCTTATGAGTACAAGGGGTCTGCCCACATCTTTCTGTTTCCGCCTCTTCGTAGCCATGACTGAATGTTCCATGAGGAGCTTTTCCCATAATCCTGCAAGGAAGTCAAACCTGCTTTGCTAGTACTTACTGAAGAAGAGATTGTCTTCATTGCACGGTGATGTTTTCTTTACTTGAGGCCCCTTTCTTTCATAGTAGCTTGCTTACTCACTTTTTCAGTTTAATAATATATATATATATATATGGATTTTTAACCATGCAGCCTCGTGTATCACCAATTTCATCCACTAAAAAAACCATTAACCACCCACCCTTCATGCTTATTACCAAAGTTGGAGCTCCTGATGCTGGATGGCGTTTTTTAAATAAATGCTTTTATTTTTTACCCATGACTACACTTGATTATTTCCAACTCCAGGGAGGACTGTGGAAGTGTTTTGAAAAGAGCCATCAATCTGTGCTCCTCCTCAGAGCACCAGCTACCATGTCTCATTCAGTTTGGAGTTACATATATTTTTTATGATGAAGGAGAATGTTAAGTACTGAATAACTGTTTGTTGAAATTAACAGCTGTAAAAAGAATTACTGGGCACCTGGCTGGCTCAGTCAGTTAGGCACCCAACTCTTGATTTTGACTCAGGTCATGATCTCGCAGTTGTGGGATCAAGCCCCGTGCACACAGCTTGCTTGGGAATCTCTCCCTCTATCTCTGCCCCTCCCCCACTGGCATGGGAGCGCACACTCTCAAAATAAACTTAAAAAAAAAAAAAAAGTCATCGAAATAGCTAAAGGGAGAATGAAAAGAATGAAAGACGTGCCCTTAGTTGTACATTCGTGCGTGTGTGTATGTAAATATAGGTTAGATTTACACACACGCAGGCGCATGCAAAAATTCCATGCAAATTTGCCACATGCTGGAGGGCTTCCTTTTAAGGACTCTCTGGGCCTCATTGCCCACCCTGGAGCTTCACAGAAGAACCTGAATTGTACCTTATAGGCCAATTAGAATTGTTTCAGCTGTAAGACACAGAAAACCCAATGCCCGTGACCTACACCGTAAGGTAAACTTCTTGAACTTAAGAAAGTCCCTTAAGGTACGGTGTCTCTAAGGTGTGTTTAAAAACCCAAGTTCTTGAGTACAATGGAATATTACTCCATCTTAAAAAATTCTGAGGTGCCTGGGTGGCTCAGTTGGTTAAGTGTCCGGCTCTTGATTTGGGCTCGGGTCATGATCCCAGGGTCATGGGATCTAGCCCTGCATCAGGCTGTGTGCTGAGTGTGAAGCCTGCTTGGGATTCTCTCCTTCCACCCCCCGCCTTGCCCCTCCCCTGCTTGTGCTCTCTCTCAAAATAAGTAAATAAACATTTTTTTTAACTTAAAAAAAAAAAGCCATCCGACTTCTAGTTGGTTTTATTATATTTTAAAGTTTCTCCTTACCTACACCCGGGTGGATGCCATCCCCGCTTCCCCTCCCTCAAGCTGTGGAGTCAGACCACTTGGATGTGAACCCCACCCCTGCCCTGTATATATTATGATTTTAAGCAAGACCCCTAACCTTCCTGGATCACCCTGTTCTCATCCAAAAATTAAGATAGTAATATCTCCCTGGTAGGATCATTGTGAGGATTAAATGAAATAAAGCCCTTGAAGCCCACAGGAAGTACCTCCCACATAACTGCACTACGACAGCTTTGTTGTTGCTACACGTGTTTCGTCTGTAACATGAAAGGGGAGAGAGGGCAAATGCCATTAGCCACAACCCGACTTTTGGGACCCTTGCAACTTGTAGGGAACAGGTTTTAAAGAGAAAGAAAGAAAGTGAGTCTTGTCTCCCTGTACAGTACGGTTCCCATCCAGGCACTGGAAACTGAGGACAGCCGCTGATGGGAAAGGCGTGTGAGCTGTTCATGGCCGCGGTGGCTGTGGACCAGCTGGTACGGGTTCTGGCAACTTGGGGGGGAATAGGGCCGTCAATGAGGAGAGCAGGAAAGCTGAGTCTGGGAGTGCCAGTCCTGAAGCCAGTTCAGGGGAATGGATGGCCCAGGGGATGCCAGCCTCTAGCAGAAGAGGGGGATCAATTCCTACACTCCTCTGCCTTGCTACTTCCTGTCCTGACACTATTTCTACCCTGAATTTAAGGCTGCTGGTCCCTTCCAGTGCCAATCAGAGCCGTTTCCCGCTTCAGTCCTTCATTTTCACAGATCCTAAAGCACTGGGTGAGCCTTGGAAGGCACCCCAACCTCTCATCAAGCACCCCCCTCCCCCACTTCATGTATAGGGAAGGGATCCGTACAACTAGCTAACAGGAGTTTCGGAAACCTTCCTTGCGTCTTCTCATGAGCTGAAGCCCGCTCCTAACCCCCAAGGCTGGTTGCCGAGGGTGGGCATGGTTCCAGAGCCTGAACAAGCCCAGTCACTTCATCTTCAAGTAGTAAATGCTAAATTCACATGCAGAGGACATTTTGCCAAGCTATCTCCCCAGCGGAGGACCCCGCAAGAGAGGAGTCAAAGTGCTTTTCACAGACTCGTGGAGAAATGGGAGTTGGGATCCGAGGTGTTGAGGATGTAGGGTGGGTCCGTATAAACATCCAGTTCAGTGGCATCGTCGTGGTGCAGGTGAAGAAACCACTGGTCACAGTTCACTGTTGAGTCTGGCTGTTTCTGACTTAGGCAAAGTCTGTTGACCCACAACTGGGGTGGGGCTGGCCCACGTCATGTGAGCAGGGTGTGCACTGAGGGCAAGGTGGGGTTTAGTGCTGTTGGCCCTGGGCGGCCAGTGCTGCGTCTGTGTCCTTCCTCCTCAGCACAGTCTTGCGTAGCCTGGTCTTACGCCACCTGCTGCTGGGCTGTCCCAGGATGTGACCGTCCCTCTGAATTTGCAGGAAGGTCGGAAGGTCATGGAGGAAATTTCAGAAAGCTGCGGCGCACTTGACGAAATGAAACCATAGCATCTGAAAATCGACATCCTTAAGCCAACGACTAACAGGAATGAACTAACGCAAGAGAATCATAGACGTTGCCCTTGAACCTGACGTCCCTGAATCTTGAGCCTTGAATCTTCTTGCAAGATTCCAAGCAGAAAAGAGCTTTTGATTTTGAGCTTTCGGCGGCTGGATGAGAACAATTTTCTTCTATAAATTTGTACTCCAAATCGTTGTTAATACATGAAGTTTGAGTTGGACTAAATAGTTCTTGAAAGTGCCATTAATTAAAAACTCAGAGCACAGAAAAGTATTTGATCAAAAGGTCAAGTGAAGCTGTAAGGGGGAAATAAAAGATGGTTGCTCTCTTCTCTGCCAGGGCACCGGCTGTCACAACTATTTACTCCAAATTCCATACTCGATTCACACCTCCTTCCCTTTCTGGCAGGAGCAAGAATTGTTCTGGCAGGAAGGTGGGAAATAACTCCTTCATTTGATACAGCACTCCTCCCCTTGTCTTCAAATAGAGTTAGTTCTGAGTCACTTTACTCGAGGTGAATAAATAGGAATGCTTTT